AAACAAAAGGTCAAGCAAACGTAATAGTTTCAACAGTTCGCATTAAATGACGACAATTTCAATTTGGCTTGGAAAGCTAAAACAAAAGAATATTGGTCGACAATCAAGTAACCATACTCATGAACTTGCCGAAAATTCAAAAAGAAACAAGTGAAGAATTCATAAAACTAGAATCCACTGTTTAAAATTGGTTGTCGGTTCTATCAACRCAAAATGTTCCCACAGACAACTGGGGTCCTATTCTGGTAAACATATGCACCGCAGCATTACCAGAAAAATCATGACTTTTATGGGAGCAATCGCTCTCATCAAGAAGAATCTGCTCAACGTGGCAGCAATGAATGATTTCTTACCTACCTAATCGAAATTGCGGAAAGGGTAGATAAAAAAAACAGTTAGAACTAAAAGCGTTCAACACGACCTAAACAGAAGCTTTAATAGACTAAAAGTCAATAGCAACAACAATTTCAATACAAGCTTTTTCAAAGCATATACGTCATGCGAACTATGTACAGAAGTTCATAAACTTAAAACTTGCGAGAAGTTTAATATTAAATACAAACGAAAAGAACAACTTTGGCAGRTCCAAAAGACCTGCGATTTGCGAAAGCAAATTCAACTGTGTATGTTATCATAAAAGAGATCATTCCATGTTACATTCCAACATGTCTCCCAACACACCTCAAAGTAGCGCTTTCTCAAGAAAAGCCACGGGTTTAGTTGCAACAGCAACTCCCCACACATAAAATCCCGAAATATGCCAAGAGACACCATGCTGCTCAAAGGCATTAAAGACTCAAACGCTACCCAGCGAGAATCATAGTAGGGTATTATTAACAACAGTAGTTGTCTCCATCAAACATAGAGGAGAACTGTTTAAACTTAGGGCCTTAATAGACCAAGGATCACAATGATCATTTATAACGTCTAAGGCACAAAGTAAACTAAAACTGCCAACAAAGCAAGCAAAATTTAAAATTACGGGAATGGGCGGTAGAGTAGTACAAAACTCTAACAAAATATGCCGGATTACCCTAATTTCTCCCCAAGCGGAGAAGCGCGTTCAAGCAGATGCTATTGTCTTACCGCTCACAATTATGCTTCCAAGCTATCAAATAAATAGCAAGCATTTCGATAAGAATTCACACCTGACTCTAACACACCCCAGCTCAAATAGACATCCTAATAGGCAGTGACCTTATACCGCAAATTATTTTAGAAACTCTTGAAAAAGTCTCAAACACTCAAAATACCATATTCGGTTGGATACTAAGTGGACTAGTTACCGAAGCAGTCAATACTTTGACAACTCAAGTTGAGGAAATATCCAATGAATACCTTAATACATTTAAGAACTTTTGGGAGTTAGAAGAACTCCCCCCATATCGATTACAACACCAGATGGACAGTATTGTGAAGCCACAACTACTCGATCAGAGAATGGTCGGTATGTAGTACGACTACCACTGAAACAAAAATTTCCAGACACACAAGAGAGAAATTTTATCATCTGTGGCGAAACTTTTAAACCCCGCAGAATGGCTTTCGCCAATTATGATACAAGTGAAAATCCTGATTCAACAATTATGGCTAGACGCAAGCGACTGGGATGAACAAGTGACGCCTCTTCGCTTAGAACACTTTTCTAGTAACCTAAAAGACATTTCGCAGACAGAAATTATACGGTGGATAAACTATTTCCCCAAATACAAAGAGGTGCTACACGACATCTATGTGCGCACACAAAGCGATATTGCGACCACAAGCCACCTACCGGCGGCAAAAGTCTCTAAAAACGATAAGTCTACCACGACTTGAACTCTGTGGCGCACTGCTACTAGCAAAGCTAGTTTCCATGATGTCGATCCACTTAAACATGGCAAAATATAAATTATATCTCTGGTCCGATTCCGAAATAGTTCTAGCCTGGTTAGAAAAACCACCACACGCGTGGAAAACATATATTTCTAAACGAACGTCTCAAATACTTGATCTAGTAGGATCAGCCACTTGGCGACACGTATCCACTGCTGACAATCCTGCCGATTTTGTGACAAGAGGGCGAAAACCCCTTCATCTCGCCACCACCACCCTCTGGTGGAATGGAACCCGATGGTTAACAGAATCTCCCGACTCTTGGCCACAATCGCCAATGCGCAATATAATTTCCCCAGATACGCACTACAATGTTTGCTGCTGCCATACTTGAACGATTTTCACAACGACCACTCAGAGTAGTCGCCTATATTCTGCAGAGCGACTCAAACATAGGGTACAGGGAGCAACTTGCCCCAATGTGACACATTGACGCACCGAAAGCAAAGCATCAACTCAAACGCGCTATTTCAGCCGCAACCTGTTGTTACTAAGAGAATCGAAGCCAATTTATAAAAAGAGCTCACTCTTAGTACTAAACCCATTAATAGACATGAAAGGTCTGTTTCGTGCAAASGGTCGGCTTGCTAATTCAAGCCTAACGTATAACGAACGCCAACCCATAATAATACCAGAGAAGTCCTTATGCAACATATGGTATGCTAAGAGTACTATGTTATTCGTCTTAATCCCCAAATCAAGAAGTGCATTTTCACGAGCAAGGTCTGCACTATGCACAAGCAGAAAATGAGAACGCAGATTATGACAGCACTTCCAACTGAACGAGGCAAATTTTCACTCTGTCTTTCCCCACAACAGGTGTCGACTTTGCTGGGCCTTTTCAAATAAAGGCGTCTATACAAACTTCTCACCCTGATGAAAGGCTATGTGGCTGTCTTTGCCTGTTTTATGACAAAGCAGTACACCTTGAGCTATATACCAATCTGACAAAGGAGGCTTTTCTCGTGGCATTTGCTCGCTTCGTCGGAAGACGTAGCTTGTACAAAATACATGCTCCCCAAGATATTAATTGGCGGTTTATCCTGACACATAAACCGTAAACAATAAACGATAAATCGATATAACCCGCTAAACCTAAGCCTAGTAACATGGTGGCCACATTGCAACAACTACAAACACTACTAGGCCAATAATTTGCCTAGGGTTCCGGGATGTCTAAATGACTCTCAGCCTCCCTCATCATGAAACACAGCTACACCACATTTCAACACCCCAAATTGGCAGACAAAATCATCATAAACGAACAACACACCACACCTATACACTCAAATATGACACCACCACCACCAACCAGAACACAACAACTTTCACAAAGTGGACGGACAGCTACAGCCGCCATACTCCAGACTCAACGCACATGCGCATACGTTTTCGCAGCAATTTGGCTTTTTCCCACATGCAATATAATCCGTTTATTCCGCCGCCGAATGGTGTACTTTATAATTTTCAAATCCTTCATATATTWAATCCGAAATAAAATCAAATTGATAATTTGTGAGCTTTGGTATTTAGAAAACCCGTTGTTTGCATTATATTTATAAAAGTGAGTTTCGGTAGCAAAGGTGAGTTCGCCAGTTAAGGGAACAGAAAAAGTGTACAATATGGATTGGCGAATAAGCGAAGTTTTAAAATTAATAAACTTAAACAAGCAAATGATTATGTTATGGTAACAAATTACTACATAGAGATTTTGCGATGAAAATGATAAAAGATTTGACAGTTAGTATGCCATAAACCTTATAGTACAATTTCACTCCGTCCTTCCTTAGTTGCGTCGGTGAACAAATTTTGTCAAAAGCTGAGCCCGTAGTAGCAACGTAGAAATCAGCTTCGAATGTTGACATTGATCAATACGCATACATGATTTTGTACACATCTAAATTTTTAATTATAATTTCTCATAACATGAAATATCAAAACTGAAAACTACTGAAAATAGTCTATTTATTTATAAATAAAAGCACTCGAAGCTGAACAAAAAAGTATTTGTTACCTTAATATCTTTTAATGTTATTATTTTGTTAGCAGTTTTTTACCTGTAATATCTAAACATGTTGGCAACAACAAGCAGTAACAAGCATGTCTGTTACCTCGATTTGTTACTCATTTGTTGCTTCTAGCAAACTCAATTTTTTTAAATAAAATTCAGTATTTTTTGTATTATTTCGCTTTATTTAATTATAAAACATTATTTACTTAAACTAATAATTTGCCTATTATTATTACATTCGCCAGAAAATGTCAATTTGTTATTAAAATATAAATATAAAACAAGATTAAGTTTACTTCAGTATAAAAATTATAACTCGGAAAAGTCACATTTGTACAAAAAAATAAAACTAGAAACTAGAACTCTAAATTAATATGTAAAACTCAGAACTAATATACATATACAACTTAGATCTAATATATATAGGTAATAATAAGAAAATKTATACTAATTTAGCATTATGTTTTTTTTTTTTTAACGATTGTGGGTTAAAGCCACAAATCTTGGGAGCTCCCCTCAGATTGTGTTGCGTTCAAGTGATTTTTTGCTTTTAGTTACGAGCGAAATTCGAGATACGAGTGGCCTGAAGCTGTTGTCGAAAGGATCTATGAAGAATTGGAACCCGATGTTTCAATAGAGGAGGAGATTGTATCTCCACGGGTCTAGAGGTGGAAGAGAAAGACGGGAGGAGCTCATCGAGGAACACACCCAGGAACTGACGAGGGGATACAAGAGTTATAGTCGTAGCAGCATACTGAGGTTATGCAAGAAATTGGTTTTGAGGAGTCAAAGGAGGAGGTTATTTCTGCAAGTGAGATAAAGGAGATCTTAGGAGTGTGGGAGAGAGTTTCACAGTTAGTGAAAAAAAACACCCAGAAAAAGTTACAATAGGTCGTGCATCCGACCTTTTTAATGACACTTGCCTAACTCATTTCCAGAACATTCTGAGAGGGAGGAAGAAACTAACCTCCTTGGACATGCTTTTTTTTCTAAACGGCCTACAGGTGAAAGCGAGAAAAATTTAGTGAAAAAGGCAAAGACCAGTGAGGATATCTAATTTATTTCTTCACATTCTCTTTTTTGCTTTTGTGTCATAAATATTTGATATTTATAAATACGTTTTTATTATTCAAAACCACGTAACGAAAATAACTTGGGTGACATTTTGGAGGTTGGAAAGGAGTAATGTTAATTCAAATGTTTTGTATGGGGAAATTTGCTTCGACATACGAGTAATTCAAGATACAAGCAAGGTTGCGGAACGAATTAAATTCGAATGTCGAGGTACCACTTTATATCAGTAAAAAAAACTAATCCTACACACTTAAGCTTTAGTAGCGATTCCTTATCTTTGCGCCCCTTGCCATCAATATTAACCGCATCTGTTATAAAGAAATAAATGATAGTTAATTATATTACAATCGCATTATATTTAAATGCGAGTATTTACTATAGCATCCGTGCATTCCTTTTGTGAAAGTTTGTCTTCCACGATGCACACGTGCTCTTCCAATCACAAGGGCAATTTCGAAGCCAGCTCCACAGCGCTCGTCGGTGATGCGCCTAATTGAATGGTGCGTCTTTAACGTCTTTGCGTCTTTGGAATATAAAAATACTTCTGTTTTATTTTGTAAATGTAACGCATTACTTACCTTGTCTTTTAGGGCCTTTTCAATGGCATCAACACCAATTATGAGTTTTGCTACCTGTGTCTCAATGGCATCCAGCTTTTGGATTATCCGTGCGATTCTGTACAGTGATACTACTGTTGACAGAGACGATGTTTGAGACTTGAGACGATTTTGTTATTCTGTAAGTGATAGTCACAAACTCTATTACATTTCATTATTCAGAGATGTTTTTATACTTGAATGGAAATAAATATGTCGATAACAAATATTAAATTTTCTATAACATCGTCAAAAAAAACATAATTATCAATAAAAACATAAATATGTGTTCACTTTGTTTCATAATATTAACGWAATTTATGTAAAATTTATTTATTTTTAACCTTTTCGTGTTTGAGTTGCTTACAAAATATGCAATCGATTAATATCTATGATGATCTCTATTCAGTATATTCRAAATRRCAGACACGAGTTCTTTTTGGTTTTGTGACTTGCTAACTACCAGGTCTCAAATTTGAGGCAATATTTTGAGACTAAAGCTAGAGACTATTTAGTTGATAGTAACTAATAACAAATTGAAATTTTACCACAAAATGTCTCAAATAGAGACTAGAGACTGGTTACAGAATCCCGCTATATAACTGAAATACAAAAATGTATTGTTTTAAAGCATATACAAATATATTTATTTCTAAATACATTATACCTGTGTGGTCGCCAGATGATGGTGACAGTACCACATTTTTTGAAGGTTCTTCTGAAGCAGCGCAACCGAGTTTATAAAATATTTTTTTTAACCCTTTATCTGTAAAAAAAATATTAAACAATGCAAAATATTTATGTTCACTACACCCTTAATGGGGGCTCAATCCATTTCATCCACAAGGTCATCGAAATTCATTCTATGAGAAATCATAAAAAAGTTGATGAATGAGTGGAAAAAAAACACTTATCGTCTGCAGGTGTAGAAGAATGCTTATATTTAATATCTAACCTACTTAAAATACCAGATTTTGTGAAACTTAACCTACAAGCATACCTGAATATTAAATTTAATATTAAACTTTTTGTACAATTATATTTATTTAACATTAACTAAAGGATTGCAATATTGATCTGGAGAACCTCTCCGACCATGCCCATTTTATTCCAAAAATCCTGGAACGGTATTTTAAAGTCGACCCAATTATATTTTCACCCAAATGTACAATCTGAAACATAAATGTTTTAATTAAATATACACTATTTAACTGCATTTCTTTAAGGTTAAGTTAATAATATAAAACTTACTCACCTAAATTTTTGAATTATACAAATTTTCCAAATAATTTTAAGTAATATTAAAGGCTTCATTATACAGACCATATACAAATCACAATGCTTAGCGTTTTTTATATATTAATAATAAATTTTATATATCTATATGTATATATACCACACAAATACTTTTTATATATATATTTATAAATATAACAATAAGTATTTATAAAATAGGAAATTATCAAGTTACGAACTTAACTGTTTAAAATCCAAAATAAGCTCCGCTTTTCGTTTTTTCTTCTAGTTGAAAAATTGAGTTTTCGTCTTTCCTATTCTAGCAAATGAATATTAATAATATGGTTGGAATATTGATAGTTTTTCTTTATCTTACTTACGCATTCTCGCTTTCAATTGAAACTCCAAAAGCAATTAACAGTGTTGGTGAACAACTGAAAATGTTTCAATATGTTCGTGTAATCTGTTACCTTCGTCTTGCAAGAAACAGTTTGTGATAATTGGATCTCTAAAAAAATTTATTAATCGTGCGTTGTCCGGTTATTCATCTATTATTTACTTAAGCGTATAGACCGAGTGTAAGAAAGCTAAATATCCGCAAAATACTTTGCGGCCAACTTAACTATTTTCCTTTCTTTTAAGCTGTCAGCTTGTGAGAGGTGGACGTACGAGGTTTGTGCTCTAAATAAATGTAAATGTCGCATTCGTTTGCGTCGTGAAATTGCTAAATGATAACTACGGCACTGAGTTTTTTTTTTTTTTTTTTTTTTTTTTTTTTTTTTTTTTTTTTTTTTACTTTTAAACTTAGTGATGATACTTGCTATGCACCACTCTGAACAGCTTTTGGTGTTGATTTAGTTATTCTGAAATTACATTTTCAAATGGGCTGGTTTTACCCAATTCAAACTCTACAAATAGACCGATGATGTGACTGTTGATTAATATATTATTTGTTGCTAGGTCTATTTAAAGGATGGGCGCCTATCGCTATATGCAGGAATTATATAGGAAGAAGCAGAGCGATGTGATGCGCTATTTGCTTCGAATTCGAGTATGGCAATATAGACAACTTACGAAATTGCACAGATCTCCTAGACCTACTAGGCCCGATAAAGCTCGACGTCTGGGATATCGTGCTAAGCAGGGATACGTTATTTACAGAATTCGTGTACGACGTGGTGGGCGTAAACGTCCGGTTCCGAAGGGATGTACCTATGGTAAACCAAAAAGTCATGGAGTGAATGAGTTAAAGCCATACCGTGGATTGCAGTCTATTGCTGAGGTAAATATATATATATTTTTTTTTTAATATATGTAATTCAATTATGCCACAATGGCTTTATATAATATAAAATTTTGGTATGAAATAAGAAACCAAAGGTGGTCGGTCTCTTGTCCGTGCTTCTATTAAATCAAAACACTGGCTCCAACAAACTCGTACGAAAGCATACAGTAACCTTATCGGTCAAAACAACATCTGTACCTAGGCGGAGCATGAGAAGAATCAAATACCAATTTCTGACTATTAAATTTATAGAAGTGCCATTATATATTTAAAAAAATGATGACAACTAATTCATAATAAAATCGTGATGATTGATTTGTTTAACTTCCTTAGATGTCTGATGTGAATTTTGTAATTTCAAATATTTTTTTTTTATAGCCAAGTAGTTTGATAAAATCTTTTTTCTTTTAGGAACGAGTTGGTCGTAGACTTGGAGGCCTGCGAGTTTTGAATTCTTACTGGGTAGCTCAGGATGCCTCTTATAAATACTTTGAGGTTATTTTGGTGGATATTCATCATAATGCCATTAGACGAGACCCAAAAATAAGTTGGCTTTGTAAACACGTACATAAGCATCGCGAACTTCGAGGATTAACTTCAGCTGGTAAGAGCTCCCGTGGCATTGGTAAGGGATATCGTTATTCACAAACTATTGGAGGATCGCGTCGGGCTGCATGGAAACGAAAGAATACTTTGCAAATGCATCGTAAACGCTAATGCTGAAACACTGTATTTATTTACTATAATACAAAATATATATTGAAACGTCAACATAAAGTTCTAGTGTTATTTGCATCTGTTGCTTAAGGCTGTTAGCCTTGGTTTATTAATGGATATATCTTAGAAATAACATCAATTGAATGTTATTTCCGTAAGGAAAATTCAACTAAAAAGATAGTTGTATTTTCATTTTGCTCAGAATTCTCGCCATATATGGGACAAGCAGATCCATGATACCTTTATCCTATAGAGCCTATCACTCGAGTCTCGATCACTGGGGCAGTATCGCAAGGCATCATATTCGACGCAAAAATCTTGCAATATAAGTATCTGCAGGAAACCAACACTGTCGCAATGTTGCTGCAGTTATTTGCTTGCCCGAACATCCCCTTCCTGCCATATCCTGAAATACTTCACCGTCTTTTTAAGATTCCAATGTTTTATTCTCCAAAGAAAATTTTATTAATGAGGATTCATAATTTTTTTTTATACCTACCTCCTAGCTATCTCCGCACTATTTTTTGTGCCCATCACTTTCACTAGAGTTCAAATAAAAAAAACAAAGTTGGATTCATTTTGATTAGTTTATTGAACATATCACAACAGTTTTGACAGTTCCACATTTATTGTGACCTAAAAGTACAATCTAGGGCAATAATAATACCCAACGATTACCCTCCTCCCGCCAAACCGACGCGAGGGGCGCAATCCGCGAACGAGCGGAATTAGCCTAGTCATAAAAGGCAAGAGGGTTTTAAGCGTTGCAATCTTAAGCTGCTCAGCTGCAGAAACAAAAATTTCAACAGCCAAAATTAAGAATTAGATTAAAGTTTATAATTTTTAATGTTACTTGTTAAGAGTAGATAAAATAGTTTTTTTTTAATGGTAAAGAGTGAATCTGTTAGATCAAATGTGCTGAAATGAGAATTGAAATCGTGACATACGGCGGAATGGTTCGTTTAACTCGAAATTTGTTCTAGAAAATTTTAAAAGTAAAGGTCTAAACTGCCTGGTAGAGCGAGCGGGAATGTTAAAATGAACAGACAAGAGAGATGGGCTACAGACTGACCCATTGATGAGTTTTACAAGAAATATTATACCAAGCATTTCCCYACGACTAGCGAGTATAGGGAGATTTATAAGCTTTAAACGGTTAGTGTAAGGGGGAAGATTTAAATTGGAATTCTAATGCAAATGATTTAAGGCAAAAAGTAAAAATTGTTTTTGAACGGACTCTATTTTCTCAGAATGATCTTGATAACAAGGGTTCCATACCACGGAAGCATACTCTAATATAGGCCTCACCAAAGATGTAGAAAGAAATTTTGTGGCAAGCGGATCTCTAAATTCTTTAGACCAACGTTTAACAAAATCAAGAGCACCTTTATCTTTA